TGAAGTAGTTGGGGGGGGGGGAAGGGCTATGGGTTGGGACCGCAATAAAGGCAGAGATGAGTCAATTTCTCTTGTCTTTCACTCGCCTTGTCCTGTGCCTATATGAAACGACTTTCAATCTGAGAATATTTTTCTTGGCTTTCTGCTACCTCATTGATGTTCACAACATTTAATTATTTATTGAAATCGTGATTGCCATTTTATTACTTCTGCTACATTTATACGTTCAAACATTTGGACACATTGAAAATCGTTCAATGCAGTGGAGTTTTAAGCTGAGATCCCCATTCTAACATAGGCGGAAATTATAAATTACCCGAGTAAAAATTTTATTTATTTCAAATGGCAGGCGTTTTGATAGTTATCATCAGCCCTTTAGCTGACTTCGGGCTCCACAGGGGGAAGAAACGTCAGGGTAACAGAAAGTCGAGGGGTGGGGAACAGAAGAGTGATTTGCAGACACAAAGACAGAGAAAAGGTACAATGAGTACTGTGCAAGTGGTAGGATATGACATACAGCGGGGTGATGATAGTCTGAAGTCAACTACCAAATAATAGACTTTTTGCCGAATGAATATACGTTGCCAGGGTGCACCACGTGGAGGCAAGTCTGTCGCACACCTCGAAGTAAAGGAATTCATAAATTATGAGAATTTAAATTTTCAATTTCATGGCATATTGAAACCTTTGTAGGTTAACATTGTTCAAATGAAAGATATGGTGAAACAAATTGTTTCCGGTTATATAGTTCGTGGAAGTGAGAAAATACTAAATTTATCTGAACGAACAAGAAAGTGCGTAGACAAAGATGAAGAACCTTTTAAATCAGAAGTGACATCCAATGGCTTCAAATCTGATTCACTGAAACTTGGAAATACCTTAAAATCAATAGGCATGAACGCAAGCCCAAACGAAAGTGAAGTTGAAAGGACATTAGTGAATGGAAAAAAACCAATGAAACTCACGAGTAGGAAAGAAACTGGCAAACCAAGTGCACACACCATATTGGGGAATCAAGAGTTGGCGATTACTGATTCAGAAAAAAGGCCAGAAAATGGAAAGAGGGTTCGCCGAGGAAGGAAAAGACTATTGGCATGTTTGGGACCAAGCCCACAGCCATCGATATTTAAAAAAATGGATCACCAGAGACGAGAATATGTCACACACTCGGTTACCTCAACTATCAATGAGAACATTAATGTAGATCATTCAAATTCTAATGATAGAGTGGAAGTAGTAACTGGAGAATCAGCTATTAAAACTGAATCAAAGTTCGATAAGAAAGGAATAAAAAAATCAGTTTTAAAGGATTTAAATCAATTAGTTCCAAATATTTCAACTGTTAATGAAGTTAAGTATGAAAAACTTTCAAAGGTGTCTACTCAAATAGTAGCAAATCAGAAAGTTTGCAGCGAACTCGAAATTGCATCAGAAATTGGCATAGATCAACAGAATGGTCTTTTGAAATGTACTTCAGAATCTGATAAACCTGTTATTTTGGTGCCATCTCAAAGCAATGTTCCCGGTAAAGGAAACCAGTCGAATGTCTCCATGAAAAACGGCCTGACTCAACCCACTCCCCCTTGTGGAGAAACGAGTGTGACAATTTCGATTACTGAAAATCCTCTTTGTTCTGACAGAAATAAAGTTAAATTTGAAGCTTCAGAAGGCAGACAAGATAAGGTCGAAGATCTTCAAAAGCCTTCCTTTGTGGCAATCGATAGTCATATAGTCAGCAGAAAAGTTAAAATTCTCCCCATAAATGGTGGATACCAAGAAATCAATAGGATAAATCTTACCGAATCCACCAAACTTGATGACTCAGTTATCTTGGTAGAGTCGAAACGAAGTATTGAAGAATTAACTTTGCCGATTACTTCGAATAAGGCATGTGCTATGGAAGAGCTGGCAACGAGCAAGAACAATGGTAGCGATATCTCAAAAGAAAATCCGTTAAATTTAATTAATGGAAAAGTGCGGAGTCGATTGAAAAATTTAGGAGCCTCTTTGATAATACCTTCGTCCCTCGTTACTAAGTCTGGACAACCTTCAATTCCAGTTGTTCCAGAAGTAGGCAACCAATATCTCACTTTTAAATCGTCTAACTCTAGTGATCAAATTGATGCGGAAGGTCAAGTTTCATTAAATGAGAATGCAGAATGTGCTTCAATTAAAACCAATCCAGAACCAAATATGACTAGAACAGGTAGAATAAAGGAAGAAACTTCGAAATCAGCTACTAAAGAGATGTCAGTTTCCAACGAATCGACTCATGAGATTCCTTCAAAACTAGAATCACAGCTCAATTTTGTCCCTTCGAATGCACACTGCTCCTTTGAGGTTGCAATAAGTTGTTGTCAAGAGGATACTGAAGGTAGCATTACATCGAAATCGAATCATGGTAACGAGGATGCTGCAGAAGGAAAATTGAATGGCTTGAGGTTGAGACCAAGAAGACGAAGAGAATCAGAATGGCTCATGTGGAGTTCAATCAGATTGCCACCGATGGTAAGTCATTACTATGCACCCAAAAGGTGTGCTAAGAAAACAGGCGGTAAAAAAGGTGCTAGTCGAAGAAAATCAAGTCCGGCAGCTAAGTCTTCTAGTAAATCGAATTTAAGCAAAAAAAGCCGAAGACAGACCGAACCGCCAAGAAATCGATTAAAAGAATGCATGAACAAGAGCCAGGAAGGGAATCCTTACGATAGCGATGAGGAAGTATTTGGGTATTTTGAAGCATGCCATCACCCTCGATGCAAAAGACCCCTGAAATACAGGAAAGTTATTCGATGTTGTGCCTGTGAGAGGTGGTTTCATCATTTGTGCGTTAATGCCCAACTGCATGAAATAACAGACCCCGAGTACACATGTCCAGATTGCAGGAACGAAAAGCCAGCCCAGTCGGCGAATAAAGGTTCCTAAGCCCTCAAAGTTGTGTTTGTTGTTTTAAACCCTGAATTTTATGCGGTTGTTTAATTTCTCTAATTTTAATTTGTTAAATTGCACTTTTGTTTTAATTTTTGTGGTAAAGGTAACTTAACTTTAACGTGCTGTAATGAATAGGCGACATTATACATGTTTTGATTTGACAATTGAAAAACGAACATGTCAAACTAGGTAATAATAAAGTTGGGAGGAAAGTTAGGAATTCTGATTCGCCGTTTCAACAGCCCCCCAAAATAGGGTTGACTGTAATATGCCCTCTATTCACTTTTACATTAGCGAATAGGGTCATAGTGGGTTTTCAATTCATGAAAATTGCTATTTTATGTCGATTAAATCATGTCTTAATGGATTTTTTACCAACCTAATGTGGATTTAAAGGTTAGAACAATCCAGTCTTACAAAACTAACATTTCGATTTGGGTCCGCTTTTAGTATCAGTGCCATGGATACAGCATTGGGTAATATTTTGTTATAATTCACCTGTTACCATATCTGAATGACAGAACAAATGCTGTTTGTCAAAATTGCTGAAATCTCAATGTTAAAAGGGAACATATGGACTTGAACAGGCTCAGGAAGTTGTTGGTTAGTTTGCATAAGACTCGATTTGTTGTTTCTAGGTTTTTAGTTCACCTTGTAATAAGTGTTCACGTGGTTTAAATAGGTCATTCATCATTAAGAAAAAGAATGATGTTGCACTGAACAAGCCGAAATGAGATGCAAGGTTCATCAAGGACGGATCGAACCACTTGGCTTTTCATTACCAACAACTCCAAACCTCCACAACAAGGGAGAAACTTATTCTCTTGGAAATCGAGTAGTAAGGACATCTCAGAAAGTTTGACTTGCTCTTGGTTTATGGTGGGACACTGATTCACTGTTAGGGAGTTTGCAGATGGTTTGAGAGAAAATACCGAAGAATTCAGCTCCCGTATTCATGGAGTAGGACAGAAATGAAGATGGTATTACTAATTCTTCAGCATTTATCCATAAAGCATCTGCTGTTTTCTACGAATAGGCACCACTTCCTCAATATCCACCATCGCTCTTTCATAAATATTTAATTTTATAACCTCTCGTCGACATTACGCTTTCATGCATTAGTAAAACATTTGTACATTTTAAGGACCTAAATGAACTTCTATTCCTACATCTGGAACCGAGACAGTCAGCTGGTGAAACAAGAAAAAATGTTTCACTAGCAAACATGAATTACGTAATTATCTACTTTCTGGATCGCTAGGCCAATCATTCCACTCCCCACATGCATATATACCAGCGGATCTTTAGTTGAAATACCCTTACTTCATGCAAAAGTAGTCCACTTTTGTACTTTATAAATTGTCACTTCACACCGTTTTCTACGATACAGGACCTCCGAGTCAACGTCGACTATTTCAGTTAAAACTCCACCAACTTTAAGTCTAAAAACTCCGCTCCTTTCGAAAGAAAAGTTGTATTAATTTTCCGTGGTGGACTAGTCAACAAAAAACATACACACAGAAAGGGAAGGAGGAAAACGTTACGAATAGAAAAGGAGCAAAGAATTAGAATAAGAAATAACCTCAGAGGGGGGAATATGATTTAGTACTTCTTTATCCAATAGCATCAGCAATGCCTTGGTTAATTTCAGGAGCCTCAGAGCGAACTGTTATTTGGAAGTTGATACCAACAGGTGACGGAGGAACCGATTTGGCTAGTTTACATCGAGCCAAAACGGTGACTCCACCACGGAAAAGACCAGCAAGCAGAAGGGTGTGAGCAACTTTCTCTGGGCCCACTTGATCACTTCGCTCACAAGGCTGCATTCCCAAATGGGCAACCAATTCTCGTACCATCGCTGTAATAAACGGCGTTTTCACTTACAGTCTACTTATGTTTTAATAAGTAGCTTAGACATAACTTACCGTCAATGGTTGAGAATTTAGACAGAAAATAGGTCTCTTCGGCTTCACCTTCTTCACCAAATTCTTCCCAAACGGCAGCAAAGTTGGTTTTCACGATACGTTGCATGTGGATGGCAACAGGAAGGGTCAATTGTTCTAACTGAATAATCAGAATAGCGCATCAGGATGGACAAATCAAGGGCTTTAACCATGAAAAATGAGGTTTTTACTCACAGCATATTCATCGCTAATTCCAGGATCATTGGAGCCAGCAGAATCAGCTTCTTTGACAACGAATCGAAGAGTATTTCCGAAGGATGTGGTGAGGTATGAGACGTCATCAGGCAGTTTGACAATGACGTAAGTCGAAGCGGGATTGTTGAAAGGTAGGGATTTGATGGAGATGGTATCCAGAACCTCAAATTCGTCGTCGGCTACTTCAACGTCTACGTAAACATTCTCGAGTAACTGGTCCTCCATTGTATTTGTGACGTCATACTGAAAGAAGCAGAGGACAGTTCGATTAAAAGACCATCGAAACCCAAGACAAAACGGATAAAAATAGAAGCGATAAAATCTTTTTTCCTGTGACAAGGTTAGGATAATATGTTGCTATCAAACAATAAAGAATATCACCTCTATGAAGAGATGTCAGAGAAGCTCTGTCACACTTCAACAGTGAAAAGAAGTAGCATATAAGAATTTAGAATTTTGTTAACTTTTAAAGCAATAAGACTTACTTGAAGGACAATATGCTCACGGAAAGTGTGGACGACACATGTGACCACATATTCAGTGCCAGCATCAGTGAGTTCATAGTCGTTAGAGGATTTAAAAAGTGTACCAAGAGATTTGATGGCTGGTATGGCCTCCAGTTGTTCGGCGAAGTGGTCCTGTCGACGTGTACCAATTCCTCCGGATGCAGCTTGTGGAGCTTCTGAGTCCGTATTTTCACCTAGAAAGGGAAAATGATTGTTAGTTTGGGGGTTCAAAAAATTATAAATTGTCTTTCGAATAAGCCAGCTTGTTTTCGATTTTTTAAACCGATCCACAATGTGGGATATCTCTCCTCTGTTTAGCCATTATAAACTTTCTCCTAAAAACAGAATTATTATGCCATTAATTCAAGATATACCAAAATAGCACATTTTCAAGAAATAATTCATCTTTTTGCTAGAGCGAAAATAGGATTAAAAGCTAAGCCTCTAGGTAACTCAGATTTGCTTCTTATTTTTCCTCATTTTCTTAGCAAATAACAGGGCCAAAATAATACTCCTTGGTGTCCAAGAATGCTGTGACAAAGATTACCCAACGCGACCAATCGACTAGATCTGATCTCCAGCAATGCGCTGAGAATGTCATTATCGCTAGGTCTCAAACTATACCCACTTATTCTTTGTTCCTGGACTTTCGTCCAATAAAAACACACCGGCACCACCACACTACACTCACACAAGCATAACACCAACCTTTGACGGGTTACTACACTTGAAAAGACCCCAAAACTAACGACCTTTCTTTACCATCCTGTTGTAGCCTAAGGATTAAAAGAAAATAGAAGGATGGCAGATGTGGTCTTAAACCATTTACCACACCCCTTAGAGGAAAAGTGGTTGAACACTTGAGCGAAGTGTCGCATTTTCGGTAATGTTAAAATACTTCAAACTAGCCGTTATTCATTGAACAATCTCATAATTTAAACCTTCAGAGAAGCAACTTATTAACCTTGGTCCTTTTGGACGAATTAGTATTGAACCCGGTTAAAAGCTGGCTAAGAGATCAATATCAAAGAGCCAACATATGAACAAATGCGACCTGGAAAAAAATAGGTAACTTGTTTATCAAGCCCCTTCTTTTATAGAAACGACTAAGAGAGGTTTGAATTTGTATTTTACGCCCACCGCGACTCCATTGCAGTTGCGTGAGCAATTCTTGACAATCTTTTGCACAGATTTGAGAACTCACTCTACCGGGGATCCTCTAATACCAATACACCTAAAAGCAGCACGTTCTTCAAAAATCAGGAGGAGCTTATTTTCCAAGAGTTCTATACACAGAAATTGAGTGGTCTAGTTGTTCAGTTCTCGAAAACTATTCAAGGGGATCGCTTAGAATTTGGCCAAGACTAGACGCTAAATAAGAATGTAATTAACTTACCATTCGCCAAGTTGTGAATTTCAGTCAAAGTTTGTAATAAAATATTATAATTCGGGAAATTCAGGTTAAAAATAATGTGTTTGCATTTTAACAGTGAAACATTGTAATTAAATGATTAAATTGCATGTACCTAGGTAACAGAGTTTAAAAAGCTATAAAGTAACCTATATTATATTGATTTTATCTGGCCGGCATAAAAATTATAGATAAGGCATCAAAGTTAAATTGGCGACAAAACTAACTCCTTCCAGTAGCCCCAATTCCAGAGACAGCAGAAGGGGCTGGATCAAAAAATCCAGAAGTGGAGCTGTCAGCCATCGCGGAGACTGCAGTGGAACCATCTGCAGGTGGTTCCTCCACAGGAATTGTCGAAATGTCAAAAGGTCGAGCCTGTTCAGCTGAAGAAGCCTGAATGTAATTGACAAGGGCACGTTCCAATGATTGCATGTTGAGGTGGATGTCATCATTAAGAATGTACTCCTTCATTAAATCTCGATCACCGGTGGAGAGAACATAGTGATAAAATGCGGCACGGTCTCGAACTTCATCATCGTCGTCAAGCATGACCCTACGAAAAGGTAATGAGAAAGCAGACATCTAGTTCTATAATAGAGTTGCGAAAATTAAATCTCCTCTTGGTGCAAAAGGAACGGAAACTAAAAGTCATACATGTTAGCCAGATCGCAAGTTAGATTATTGTCAATCACGCCAGGTACTGAAATTCTGAATAACGCATTCAGTCCACCCGAAGCACATACAAATGACCACTTTGTCGTCCACTAAATGTATCGTTCAAAATGATTTAATTAGCTTTCGTTCACGTCAGTTTTGATTTCATTTTTTCGTTTGATAATGTGAAGCAACGTAAAAATTTCAACTGCCTTGAATCAAACTAGCTTCATTCCGAAGTAAATATCATTTTACAGCACATTTAGGTGTGGCCACAAATAACTGTCAGACTCGTTAAGGAGCACTAAAAATCCGTTGATTTTACAATTCACGATCTCTGTCGATAAAATACGGACTCACCGTTCAAGTAGAACAAGCACGCAAGGTAGAAGGTCCTCACAATTAGCACCAAATCGAGCCAAAGCTGTAGTAGCAGTGCATTTCACAGGAGCCGACTCCAAGATAATACGATTATAAATGAAGCGAATGAACTGCTTCGGTCTATTTAAGAAAGGACCCTCACGACCCAGGAGATAGAGTGCCCTCTGGGTCAGCTTCTCGTGTTGACAATCCTCGATAAATTCACACAACTGCAGAAGACCTGAAAGAAAATAATCACGCTGCTTATTACTTATCAGTAGATGAGGCACTACAAACTGGACAATTCTAAATAACGTACCGAGGTTTTTAGCCTGGGGATTATCGCGGATGATCGACTCCATAGCAACAACCACAGCCTTCTTGTATTCATATCCAGCAGGATCACGCAGAAGACCAGATAAGAAGTTAAGAAGGACGGAATACTTTCTAGGATATTTAGCAGCAAGCATTCTAATAGACTCCAGAACCACAACTTTGAATTCGTCGGTAATGTCAGCCATGAATGAACATATATGCTTCAGGAGACGGTCAATATTGTTTTCGCTACCAGTCTAAAACAGTAGTGTATTGAGTGGCGAGCAATAGAAGTTTTACCTTAAGGAGAGTTGTAATCGCCAGAGTAGCAATACTACGATTTGGGTCCGAAACCAAATTCTCCAAATCATGATTACAATAAGCTACAGCATCGGGATGACGTGTAGCGATCTTGTTGAGGGTTCTAACGGCAGCATAGCGAAGAGATGACTTGTGCGACGAACAGAAGAGTTGTAAAACACTAACCGCCGGTGCTAACTCTTTTGCGGTTATCTTACTCAAACCAATAATAGCTCGGGCTGCTTCATATACAACCATCTCGGATTTGTGACGCAGAGAAGTCGTCAAGAAATCCATCATGTTCTGATTTTCACTAAAAAACGACAAAAACCATCAGCAAAAGAGAGATATTAAAACAAGATAATGGATGCAATACTTACGCTAGTCCCTCCTCTTCAATATGTCTTGCAACAATTCGGATCTAGAAAGGGATTAGAGATATGGAATAATTTCAAACTTACCATAATACAATGAGCGTAAGATGAACGAAGAGGTGATTGAAGGAATTTTTGAATGAGTTTGAGAGTAGCAAGACGATCATTCTGACGCATAAGATAAAGGAGGCCAAGAGCATGATATTGAACAATAACGTTAGGACCGGAGACAACCCCCTGAATCTCATTATTCCAACGTCGAATAGTTTCTGGGCAAACTCGCATTAAATGATAAGCTGATGCTAGAACAGCCGATGCAATAGCTGGAGATTTATCAACAACAGCCTGCTTAAGGTAGCGTTCAATCGATAAAACCATAGAGGCCTAAAGAGAGGACAAGATCATCGTTTAAAAAAATGCGCGTTGTTAAAAGAATCCACATTGTAAATGAAAGCTTACATCAGTAATTTTACACAGAGTTCTAATAGCTGGTGCGCGAAATGAGGCCTCAGAACCGGTCATATCCTTGGTCAGACTACTTGTCAAAATAATGACATCATCCGCATAAGGAGCAATTTCTTTAACGACAAGATAAAGCAACTTTCGCAGACTTTGCTAAAAAAGAGATTAAAATACATAATGGAAGAGGGATACGTTTGGTAGTTGGAAGAGTTTAGTCGCAGCGAAAAATGTAGACGTTGCTTCTTGTCTACTAAACTTGGCCCCTTTATCCAATAAACACAAAGTTTTTGTAAGAATTTGAATGCATTTTCGCGGATTTGGTTGATTAGCATTAAAGAGACGGGCCTAAATGTAAATTGTGAAAAGAAATATATTGCATACCTCTTGGAGAACAGATGACTTCTCTACATTCATGTATTCAAAACCAATTCCTACAAATATAAAAACTCGAGTCAGAAGCCAGATAAATCATAAATATATAAACAGGGATACATTTAACAAGGAGAAATATGTTTTTTTAATGAATTACGAAATAATGTGGAACGATCGTCATAAAAAATAAATAAAAATAGGTTCTATTATGCATAACACAAAAATAGAAAAGTATCTTAAGATGAAATTACCATCATCTTCTCCACTTTTGTCTTTCCTAGGTGCCAACATTTTGCGGATGACGTGTAAAGGAAAACCTCACAAAAATTTTTCAAACCATCTGGCAGCGTGCCTAAGTGGTGAAACACACTTCTCTTAATAAACTTTAAATGATATTTTGTTTTATATTTTAGCAAAACTTTTGCTGAGATGTTAATAATTTATCCATACAAAGTATAAAATTTGAAGAAGTAATAAATTGTATGGATATTTTTGGTCATTGAATAAGTTTACTTAATGTTTATAAGAGCCCGCATTCGTGGTACCAATAGTATCATTTTTCCGATGGTGAAAATGGAACGTCTTAGAAACGTTGAAATAGCTGCTAAAATTTTTCATACGAAATGACTATGAAAATTCAGCGAATTTATCATTGAAGTGTTTTGTTTACATTATTATTATTGTAATAGTTTCATTCAATTTCATCAAATATGGTAATCCGCTCAATAAAGTAAACGTAATCCATTACATGTATCTGAGAACTACGTACAAACGAGAGTTGTACCTTTGCTCTTTCAACCTTAAATTATTTGTGTTTCAAGCTCATCGCCTCAATGAAAATGAAAATAACGAACTTTGAAAGCTACTCAGTCTGTGTGTAAAGCTAGCTAGTATCCCAGCCAGAATCACTGATCAGCTTCTTCTTTCAACATAAATAGATAAATAGTAAAGTATGCGTGCTTTCTTAATTTCATTAATAATTTGATCGTTAGTGGATAATTGATATCAATAAATAATTGACGATTCGGAGCGATAAAATGGCGAAAATACTATCCCATCACAAGTAGCCCGGGTGTGTTTTAATAAGGCTCACATAAACGCCTATCTTTGACTCCGGAATCGATTATTTGGCACCATTGGTGTCGGCCGCAAAAACATTTGTGCATATACTTGGTATTTTGATCGTATAATTTATATAGCCTTCTTCGAACTGAATATGAGTAACCTAATTGTTTTATAACATTTGCACACACTGACATATGAACCTTCAAAACACAAATGGACCATATCAATTCTCGTTTTTTCAAGTTTGAAAAAGACTTATATCACGCTAAAATCATTTAGTCAAATTACAAACGAAGCTTTACCAGGGTATAATAATATTATAAATAAATAATATTGTATTTTGTTCTATGATGTTGGGCAACGATTCAAACTAAATTAATCTGAATTAATTTACGATTCTTGAACAAATGTATTCAATTTTTCTTTCATATTGTCTTAATTTTGACCGCGGTTTTTGCAAGAGCTTAATTCTTCAAAACTATCTACCTGTAGTTATGATTGTGCACCCAACCCCAAAATATTTTCATTTTCAGGGGTGCGCGATAGACTTACCTCCACGTGGTGCACCCTGGACAACGTATACTCATACGGCAAAAAAGTCTATTAACCGACATTTGACTTCTGACTTCAAAATACCATGCCC